CCTTATTCCTCTACATGGTATTGTCTATGATAGCTAGAGTAACTACAATGGTGTCCTCATTGTAGTGAGCACGTTGATGTTAGTGTGTAGGGACCAGGAGGCAATAGTGATCAGACTCTAAGGGGTTAACTTTGCTGGTGCTCAGTTATCCCCTGAAGGTGTGTGCAGTTATGAACTCAGATTTTTACAACAGGTGGGTGACTGAATGAGGCCTTCGGTGAAGAAAACGACCCCTGGATGAGGTGAGGAGATGCTGAGATGAGCCAAAGCTGGGACTGATTCGAAGGGAAAAGTTACAGATGGCGAAGGTGTCAAGGGCTCGGGCGCGTAGTGGCCGAGGCTGAGGAGGAATTTGCGCTTCGGCGCGCCAAAAGGGGGTTCTCTGGACGGTTGGGCTTGGCATGACTCAACACATGGGTGAAGTCTGAGGTGGTCCGTTCATTTAGGTGGGACGAGGCACTTGTACTTTACGGTAGTTATGGTGCCTCTAGAAACAGAAAGGTTAATCTTAAAACTGGATTGTTTAAGGGATTAGCCCTATAGGCGCAGCTGGGCCAGCTCGTAATAGGTTAGACTGTCTCTCGTCATTACCCCGCTTGCCATGAAGTATGGTCGAATCGTCTTCTTCAAACAATCGGTTAGAGAAAAACATTGTCAACAACATTTTTGGCTGCCTATCCTACACAGTCCTTCCAACTTAATATCACTATCTATTCATCCTCTTTTCTAGCAAACAATGTCTCTCCAAAAGTCTGCTTCAGAAACCAAAGTTTGCAAGCATCTAATTCGCGATCCATGTATTGAAATAAGAGCATTAAGAAGACTTGGCTTTACATTACGCCATATATCCGACGAACTTGGCTTCACAATTAGGGAAGTGCAACTTGCGTATGCTCGAGAGACTGAGAATCCTAAGCCTCGCAAAAGATGCTTATCTAAATTAAGCGCGGAACAATTTGATGAGCTTGAGGCTTTCGTCCGGGAATCTCCTGAGAATCGACAGATGTGGTATTTGGAACTAGAAATGGGGCCCTTCAGCCACTGGGGATGCAGTGAACGTTTAATTTCTAACGCACTCAAAAAAAGATGTTACAGCAGATGCATTGCTCGGAAGAAGCCTCCGTTAAGCGCGGTGAACAAGCAGAAAAGATTGGAGTTCGCCCAATTACATTTAGATTGGAACGATGTACAATGGAGTCGCATATTATGGACTGATGAAACCTGGGCATCGGGTGATTGTCATATGAAACCTCGTGTCACAAGAAAAGTACATTTAAATTCTATCTAAATCTTCCTTGTATTAACAGCAGAGTTTAGCCTGATGATGAGTTTGATGAGACTTTTATTGTGGCTCGCCATACTCATGGGAACAGCTGGATGTTTTGGGGCCCATTTTACGGATCACAAAAAGGCCCATTCCTAGTCTGGGAGAAGGATTGGGGGTCAATGAGGGCCTTATCCTATTGTGAAAGGATTTTGCCTCTTTTGAATTAATTTCACGTGGAAAATCCAGAAATTCTATACATGCACGACAACGCACCATGTCATAAAGTGTAATCAACAATTGAGGCGCTGCGTGAAGTTAGAATAACGCCTAATAGATGGCCACCTTACTCTCCGGACCTGAACCCGATCGAGTCATTGTGGAACATCTTAAAAAACCACATTCAGGTAGATAGGCCTGAGATAAATGGGGTCAGGCTTGTGCGCTCTGCCACGTTGAAGACATTGCTACAGAATGCATGGGACTCTATACCCTCTGAGGAGCTATTGTCACTAGTTGGCAGCATGCACGAAAGATACGTAGCAGTGATAAAGGCAAATGGAGGGTACACAAAGTATTAGGATGGAGAAGACTAATACAAAACGTGTAGTACGCTTTTATTTTAGCTGCGAGCCATACTGATGGCTTCGATGTAGACTTTTGTAATACAGAGCAATTATTTTTGAAATAGATGTGCATTTTTAGAGAATATCAATTGATTTTTTTAAATTTGAATTTCAAATGAGGACCATTGTACTTTTCCCATTGAGTTGAAAACCATCCCCATAATTTAGACTTTTACGGAATGTCATTGGATAGTACTTCTTGCTTGCATAACTAGTAGAGTAACTAGACATGGGCCTGCATGAAGATCATACGAATTAAGGAAATATTTACAGGGATCTTTCCCCAGTCATTATAACAATATTACCTTTGCCATCCATAAGAGACTTTAACCTGATCCGGCTCGGCCCCACCCGTGCATAAGCCCGAGTAGGGGTGCAACGGGAATCACTATACCTAGCACGTAAATGAACAAAACAAAACAAAACAAAAAACTTACTATTCAACTACTGCTCACCATGAAGTCCGAGGATGAAAAACGTTAGTCTAGAACAGAGGTGACTTCTCTTATGAACTTTTCCTATGCCTAGTCTCATCGATGGGGGAGTCAACGGGACTAGCAGAGATAATTGCGATTAAAAGATCTTAAGAGGCGTACTCAGCAGTAAACTAGCTCGTGTCATCAATATAGAACGCCAGGGCTTGTTGCTTTAGAACTTTTCCCTGTGTAGTGTAGCTATCAGTCATCACAAACCTCTATGCAGGCACCAGATAGGATTTAAAACAAGAATGTATAACATTTAGATGTAGCTCTAATTCGCTAGATGGCTCTTCATTAAACGCCAATAGAGGGGATGCCTGCTGCATAACACGATAAGTGATAACCCAAGTAAACAAATCAAGGTTTTCCTTCATCGATATATGGAGCCAGGGTCTCCTACTCTAGGCAGAGCGACATATATTCTGGATGAGTTTAGCCCTTCCTGCCCAACTTGAAATTTTGCGTGATTAATCAAATATGAAACCTTTTTATCAATCTTAGTCTCTTGACTATGATTTTACGTGATAATTCCAAAACAAGGCCAGCGTTGATTGTTTCCAGTAAAGTGCGGACTCGTTATAACGATATTCGATATAAAGATACTCGCCTTGTAAGAATGTCTTCTTGGCGCACGCATCACCTTCTCATGGTAATATCACAAATTAACGAAAATCGATATACCGATGCCGCCGTCGCCCTTTTATCGTTAAATTGAATAACTGACACATGGTGTAACCACTGTCATTAGCTGAAGTCTGATTATTATTAGTCATGTGCCTATTGATCAAGGCATAAATTACTGTTTCCTAGTTTAATTTCAAATATGTCATACACTTCTCCATACCACTCATTTGGCCTAGTAGAAGTCCGGATACACCTTATATAAGTCTATTCTTAAATGGCGATTAAGATTACAGACATAACGACGAAAATATTGAAGTGGAGTAGTAGGAGGAACTCACGCTTATGTATATCATTGCTGCACATACTATGTTACAGCAGGATGAGCACTAGGAGCGCGAGGAGGATGAGCCAGATGCCAACTCTATGGAGCTCACGATACTTATGCGCATAGAAAGAAGCCTCCAGCAGCATGTAGAGCTTAGTAGAAGTCAAGGGACATTAGATGGTATAAATAAAATGTGAGGTAGAGCGATATCACGTTTGATGTGCGAGGTAGCGTGATAAATTCATTAAGTGGACTAAGTAGTTAAATGTGTTTGTCCGTAGTATTGAGGTTCCTGATGGATTAGTATGTATGAAAAGTGAGATAAGCTTAGCTTTAAGATGGCGTAGGTTACGGGTGTCTCGTGGCTCCAAACTACTAATAAGTATAGTAGAGCTTAAGACTAGATGTAACTTGGTTTTCTATTAATACAGGGTATCGTCCAGATAAGTACAGTATTCCTTATCTTGCGCCCGGACTTCAACATGAACAACATTACATAAGCATTGCAATTTATGAGAGCCTCGTACTAATCTAGAGGTCTGTCAATCTTGGATCCTCAGTATCACCTGATAAAGTTCTCCACTAAAACGTTTTTTTTTGCATCAGATTTTAACTGCGTATGCAGCTATCTAGCTATGACACAATATCAAAGAAAAGTACAGAATAGATGATTCAACGTAAAGGAAGAGCTCTAATGCCTCAGATTTCATTTGCAAGTACCACTGCGAAGCTATGGCGGTTTTTTCTTCACCTCAACTCATCCCTCATCCGTGGATACCCACCCAGGGGAACGTCTAAAAAACCCTGAGCTATGCAGACATGCCTCTATCATCTTTCAACTTTTCTACGCGCGAAATATGGCCTGAGGCGTCTCCTTCCCAAGTGGATTAGGTGCTCTGGCTAATCCACTAAAACGTTATAACAATACAAAATAGCGGCACGGAATCACATCGTTATAACGTGTCCGCACTGTACTGTGTTGACCTCGCTAACTCACATTCATAGAATACCATCTACCCTGCCTATGCAAGGATAAACATGGATTATGGCTGGTTAGTAGTGGGGTCAATTTTACTTTACAACAGTTTCCATGTGTAGATGCTGCCTTGATCTACGCGATTATAGCACGGACACCGCGGTAGACCTAGTTGTAAAAATAGCGCACCTTTACCCCTCTTTTGTAAATACCTTTAGTATTTTGCTCTCTTTTCACGCTTTGAGCTGCGTTAGAGATGCTAAATTCATTTACATTCGAAACCATTACGGCCAGCATTCATCGTAATGAAAATAGACTTGTTGGAATCAATGAATGTCGGAGACCTAGTTGAGTACAGAAGTGAATGGAAGCCTTTGAATCATTGCTCGTGAGCCAGCGCCATGTGAATCTTGAGATGTGATTGATTTGCAGGCCTAGTATGCCATTGATGTTCCAGACTCGTACAAGAGATGACCAAGAATTGTTCACTTTTCGGCCTTTCCACAAGAGACAAATATACAATGATAGCTACATCGTGCAACGACTCATCAATCCATTTCTGCCCGCACGTGTAACCGCGCTCAATACCGAAAGTTTGGAATTTCTCACCGATCGTTTGCTTCATGTCCACAATTGTGGGCAAAATCTACACGTCTAGTCCTGTAACAGGTTATCGCTTCCATCATCCCGTGCAAACTGCTCGTGCATGCGCCCCACCAATCTCTATAAAGACATACTACTACCGCGTCTATCCTTCTTCGTCACTCCTTCCGATTACAGTCACTCTTCAAGGAGAAATCTCAAACCACCCCAATCCTCATCAACGGCTAAAACCATGACTGTTGAAAAAACCATCATAAAAGCTGGGCACGGTGTTTCCCCTAAGCCTGGTGATACCGTCACAATGGAGTATACAGGCTTTCTTAAAGATACTGGATGTCCAGACAACAAGGGTAAACAGTAAGTCTCAACAAAACATAAAAATATACATTTGGTCAGGTCGACCACTAACTTGTAATTGTTTATAGATTTGACAGTTCAGTCGGACGCGGTGATTTCGAGGTAGTGATTGGTCGAAAATGTGTGATAAAAGGTACTTGCAAGGAATCCAGGATCTCTGAAACTTTATAAAATTGATGAAATGTTTCTAGGCTGGGATGAAGCTATCCCTACGATGAAAGTTGGCGAAAAGGCCACACTAGATATCAGCAGGTATAATCGCCAGAATTTTGTTAATTCATTTCGACCACGATGCTAACAATATCTGAAATAGCGATTATGCATACGGAAAAAAGTAAGGAGTCTTGCTGAAATTTACATCTGCCAGAATCTTCCCTCTCTGCGCCTAAACTGCAAGTCCGATGTTGCAGGAAACTAACAGGTACTTAGTGGCTTTGGAAATATCATTCCGTCAAATGCTAGTCTAATCTTGTGAGCCAAATAATCATACCCTTGACTATCAGTAATTTTGGCAGAAAGCTAATCAACTAACTTCACAGCGATGTCGAGCTCAAGAAAGTTAATTAGAAACATAATATTCTCTAATATCATCCCTGAAATTTACAAGCAGCGAAGAGGAATAGATATAATTTCGAGCATTTGAGGTAATCAGTAAACCATGATTTCGCAACAATAGTTTTACTATGTTTTGGTAGATTTGGATACTTCGAAAATAAGAGTCAATTTCCTTTATCCCCCTTAAAGTTACAAATTAGACTGTTTCAACTCCAATGCACTGTCGTCTTATAATAAACTATGTTTTTTGCTGAGAAAAGAAATGCGAGACAGAAATCAAGTTGTTTTACTTGGTATAGACTATGGGAATTTAGACTTGCGCTAGAACAGCTAAGATGGTTCATGGAGAGATATATTGATAAATATGTATGAGTGAGGTTACTATGATAATTATTGTGTTACATATTGAGGGAAGCTGGTCTCATTTCCCCTGGCTAGTTCGCTTGTAGACCGATCACGTTACCAGTATGAAGCGCACCAAAGTGTACTCTCAACTGATTGATTAATTGTATTTGTTTATTGTCCTATGAGGTCTATGGCTGTGTAAGGATATGTAGGTCCTTTCTGCCTACAGGCTGGGAGTATCTATGCCTCCTTCACGACTTCTTTCCAGCAGTAATACCCCCAAAGGTCTTTATTTGAGTACACACTTAGAGGAGCCGTTATCTCGTCATTATTTCCCCTCTCAAGCTAACGAAATGATGGCCATTTGCGGGTATGTAACTGCAGGAAAAAGTCTCAAAAATCACTGGGTGCGGGGCTCTCCTATGACGAAGAGGTCGTTCAGCCGGGCGCAGCAGACCTGTGTATACCTAAGTGTGTCTCTCAACCTTCCTAGCCTCCTCCTTACTCCTCCCTTGATTCATGCCGCAGGACAAACCGAAGGTCGTGAAAGGATGTCAGAAAAGTCTTGGTCGAGAGTGACTGCCGTGAAGGAGCCTGGCCTAGCATCCAAAAGTCGTTACGGACGTGGGATCGTCGGGTAACCCATGTATTTCAGATGCCCTTCTGGCTAGTAGATTCGGAAGTATAGATAAGTAGGGACGATAATGTAGACGAGTCGAAATCTGCTTTTCTTGAGGGCGGAAGGGTCTTTTACTTTGCTTTCGTGGGCTTTTTGTTCGCCCGCCGGTGGGTAGCACATATTGTGATATAACGAGGGCTTCTCTGACTACCGTTGTAGCGTTTGGTACCGAATTATCTTTCCTCATTCCCAGTATCATTATCATCGTCTTTGTCGTCTTATGTTAGACATTGAGAAGTATCTAAGGTATATTGGATGTTCGGATCACCCCTGGATAAATTGGGTCCAATAATAGAGTACTTTAAATTAGCTAGTTGAACGCACGGTCCACTTAGAGAAGAGATAACTTCTGGGGACCAATGCTCGGAAGAAAGAATCAAGTTGTTTCTACTAAGTTGTTGATGCTCGTAAATATTCTTCACCTGCTACAGGACAGGTTTCCCAGTTTCCTGATAACTAATGAGTTATCGGAAGCATATCTTTGACGGAGGGGTGATAACTAAGCTCAAAGTTGAAAAGGTGTTACTCAATCTCGGCTCTGCAGACTCTACAGTTAGACCTGGAGGTTCGTAGGGGACACCACTGACAGGCGTTGTGAATAGTCCCCCTGCCCACAACTGAGAAACTATACCACTTGTCCTATAATAATAATCTATCTCTCGTACTGCGCACAGTACTACATGTAATGTCGTTGTATAGAGACTGGATCTCTTCCATGCGCCATACTGCCATAACAACTACCTGTGCACCAGCTACTAGATCTAGCATACTGCATAGCTAAGCATAACATATAAATGGTAGTTTAGGCAAGATGGTGTAGTAATATTGAGGCAGAGCACTCGCGTGAGAATGATAGGTACGACATTGACGAGAATTTGTCGATTTTAGTTATGCTTTAGGCTGCTTTAGGTTGCTTTCGACTTCAATTCGGATGCGATTCTTCTTGCCTACACCAGATATATAGGGCATACTGAGCGATTATACCGGCACCACTCGAAGGTGAAGAATTCGTCTTTGCCGGCTCCAAGCTTCATGAGTATGTCTGTAATCTCAGTAAGAGTCAGGTCGTAAGCCATGTGCGAGAATCCTATTTGTTCCAACCGTGAAGAAACTTCAGATAGACAGAGTCTAAAATTTCAACAGAATCATAAAATTTGACCTCGGTATATCTTGGTTGAGCGAGCATGACATCGCAGACTTACTTCTTTCGACTTTTTTCTCAACCAATTTTTTTGAAGATACATACACCCATAAAAGTTTTTGATACAACAGTAGAGAACAAATCATAAAGACCAATAAATATCGTCCAATCTACCACCTACGATTTACTACTGTTATTCTCAACATTCTAATCCATGCCGCCCTAGTCCTCTGCATAGGCTGCCTCTTGGCCACCCTCACAATGTTATAAAGGTAAGAGCTTATGGAGATTAATTGGCAAAAGGTTTACAGATAATTATTGATGAATGAATGTGAACTGCTGATATATTTGATATTCAGAACTGTTGAAATTGGTGCTTCCAATTATGGTAAAGACAGGGATATGTAGAATACACGTCACTAATCTCCCATTAATTGTGAGGTTAGTATTAATGCGCTTTGACGTAAATACCAACCACTAGATTTTATTATTACAAAATATAGTTTATATAGCACTCTGTGTCCTAGTGGGAGTAATTAACAACTCTCCACGACAGATTTACAGACTCCTTTACTTTCCCACTCGCTTCACCAAGTGATATAATCTATATCTAACAACCACAAGCTTTTGCAAACCAATCCGCTCAACAAGAACTCTGAGGACTTAGGAGGTAGAAAGCTCTAATTATATACACATCTGAGGTAGCTATAATCTCGCCTTATTTACCCAAAACAGTATCACGGAATATTCTAGTCTCCTCCATCTGGTAGTTTTATCTAGACACACTTTCCATACAGCGCTCCATTGCTCTTCTACTCATCATGGAGCCACCTGGAAAGTTCTTCCTTCACTCTCAGTGATCATTACCCTTGTGCATCCTAATCCTAGCCATCACCAGCAGAACACCCAACCGTAAATTTGACGCGTCCTGGCGTCAAAATGGTCCTCACAGAGCCACAGAACCATTTCAACAATACATAGCAAACAGTAGAGCCGATCTGCGAGGCGAGCTGCCAAGGTTAGCCCTCCAAACCCCATCGAGTCATTGGATGTAACATTGACAAACTTCCTGGCAGATGAAGCGAGGGCTTTCAACTTACGCATCGCAGAGGTAGAGCACATTGTTAGTGGGCACATCAACCTACTGGTAGGCACAACCGATCAACAGATTGGTCGAGCTTTGGAAGAGAATGGAGCGGTCTTACAGGCTATAATAGCAGATACTCTGCGAGGAAAACCCAGCCAGCCACAAGAAGGTAGGCCATCAGAGGCGGCCAATGGCAGCAAAAAGATATTCCTTCCCGCGCGGGCTACTAAACTGGGAGAGAATACAAACGCAAGCACTTCACGACCAGTGTAGATTCTCTTGAAAGAAAGCAACAGCCAGGCAAAAAGCAGGGCGATGATTTTCGAAAGTCTAGCACTACTGAGAGATCCTAGACTCAGGTAGTGATGAAAAAGACAAAGAACGCAAACCCGGCAGCGAAAAAATCGCTACCAGTCAATGGATTTCACACAAAAGGAACGGGGCTTTTTATTTATTTATAATGTTTATGTTGAAAGTCATGCGATAAATCTGTAATTGTATCACGTGTCTCGCTTAGTATTCCACACTTTCCGTAATTTTGAAGTGTGTAGATAATTGTAATAATAAGAAAAGAAGCACCAATAGTTGTAGTTATAATATACACAATAAATTTGTCAGATTGGAGCGTAGGCGTTTGACATGAAGCGTAATAGGAGGGCGAGAAGAGGTCGGATGGTTCGCAAGAGATGACTGAAGGTCTACTGGAGATAACTAGAAGGAACTAAAGGTTTTGAAGGTGGGTATTATAAATTGCTAAAAGGTCTAAAGGTTCGAGTGGGTACCAATGGTAACTAAAGGTACAAGAGGTGACTAGAGCTAATCCGAGGTCGGTGGTTGTGACAGAAAACTAAGCGTGAAGAACTCTATAACTACAGGCCAAGTCGTCATTCATATACTTGCTTTCCTCCCACTAGCTCATCACAACATAGGCCCTAAACTAGTACCAACATAATAACCAGTGCCAAGAACTGTTCTGTTGTCATAGCAACATCAGGAGAAGGGTAAATTTATAAACTAAAGTTAGGATGGGAAGGAGAATCCTTACAAAATTATATATATATATATATATATTTATATTATAAAGAATCTGGTTTCGAGAGCAAGTATCCACACGCAGCTGAATATATAGCTGATATGCAGTATACTCTTAACTCCAGTGTCGCATAAATTACAACAGTTATACTTCGTGCCCGCGCACAGCATGTGAGCTCGTCGCGTGCCGGTTTACCCAGTCTATATAAAACTACTCGACGTGTTGGCGCCTACATAGACCCAACATAGCAAATGAAAACCAGGATCTTATCATCCTGCGCTCGAAGTTTAAATTTATATGAATATGGGCCTCCTGTTGTCTCTCATGACTTACTGATGTTATTCAAAGGAGAATACAAAGCAAAGAAATAAAATTAGTGTTGGTAAAACACGAAGTAATACAAATTGGGTGCCGTCACGAAGTCAGCTGTCCGTCACGAAGTCGGTGAATAATGTCAATTAACTGGTATCTCGATATACATAAAACGTTGTCTCTCCTTTTCCTTCTCCCCCTCTGCCCTTTCTTCCTCTACTCCAAGCGCCTCGCTAAGGAGCTAAGTCAGATCCCTGTCAGTGTCCTAACAACAACCTGAATACTGCAAATACATAGAACAATTCACACTACCCAAATGTGATCCTTTTACCGACAATTAGTAAAGAGGAAAATTGGTTGCGTCGCTCTAAAGCTCTCTCGCTTTTGTTACATGACCAGCTATTAAATGGATGAA